AAGTTGAGAGGGGGGGGGGGCGGGGGAGTACGCGGCGGCTCCAGGAGCCTCTCCCGCGTCGGCGGAAGCAGGAGGTGGCGCAGCGCGTGCGCGCGCGCGGCGTCCATGCGCCCTTCGTTCTCCTGGCAAGAGAAGGAAGATGACAGGGGAGGTGGGGATGGGCCGGGCTGGCTAGCTGGGCCGGCCAGGCCACACAGTGCTGGGCCAGCACAGGAGCTGGCCGTAGGTAAGGTCCAGGTAGGTTTTTCCATTTTTGTTTTTCTTTTCTATTTTCTGACATTTGTTTGGTTTAATAAAAGTACTAAACCATTTTATTTTCTTATGCCAATTTTTGCAGGGGCTAGTGGTATTATTCAAGAGCTCCTCAACAACTGGCATAAATTTTGGACATATAATATATATATCACATATATCCAAGCAATTAATTATTGCATTAATTCCAAATGGCCAAAATAAATATTTATGAGTTCCTAAAAATATTGGTTTGATTTTTTTACCTCTGACTAACATTTTCAGAGAGCAACATGAACATTTTCTTGGACCTTTTTGGAGGAATTTTTATCTGGGTTATTTCCAGAAATGATATATGAGGGTTTCACAATTCCCCATTTCAATTTTAAATGGAATTTAAACATGATGCACAAAGTGTGCATGCACTCCTCGGTGGGGAAGACGTTGTCGTAGTCCGTGAAGATGTTATGGGTGGTGAAAGCTATGAACATGCAGCCACACCAGAACACGCGGCCGAGGAGGTAGAACATGTTGACGGGGTTGGTGAAGTGGGCAAGGATAGCAACCACAACCCCGTTGTGGATGACCTCCTCGACTTGATACATCCTTGGAGATCCCCGGGGGAGGTGCCCGTAGCCGGCCCCAAGGAAGAAGTCAGTGAACCCCCATGCGCCCCTCCACCTTGACATCACCCACACACGAAGGATGCTCTCGACGTACACCCCGGTGGGGTAGAGCATCTCTGGCACGGTGGGGGGAAGCGGTAGGTTGGCCCGGTGTACTACATGGCTACGGCGGGCTGGTTCTTGCGGCTGTTTGTGGTGAAGAAGAAGAAGAAGAAGGGCAGACGCAAAATGTAGGTGGGAGATTATGGGAGATGGATGAAGGGTGTGATAGGAAGAGGAACATGATATGTGGCTTAAATAGCCACTGTGGCAGTAATGGTGTCAAATGTGAAAAAGTTTTCCACCCACCGCGGCATCTGGAGTGTACACGCGTGGGAAACTGTAGTGTGAATCTAAATGCGAAGTTTAAGTGCTGCCCTATGTGCCGTCGGTTGGGTCAAGCGGGGACGACTTTGCGGCGCGTGCTCCTTCGCGTATGTGCACGCAAGCAACGAAGGCGGAAGCAGGCGCATGCATGCAACCGCATGCAACATAGGCTCGCTCGGGCACATGCAACGGCGGCGGACATCGCTCCGTCCAACGGGTGGGCTTCTTTACATAGCCCAACGACGCGCATGCATGGCAGCCCACCCTCGAGCGCAGAAAAACAACGTAAGTATTATATGATTTATCGACATGAAAGCCCTAGAAAATCCTTACAACGTCAAAAAGCAAAGCTACAAAACTTGGCAAGGATGCTTGTCATGTTGGTACAAGGTTGTTGGTCCACTTCAAGGATGTCGACAAAAACATGCTTCGAGACGGACCCTTCCCGTCCTACCCGAAAGGCCAGGATGTAAGTCCAATGAGATCAACACTTGTTCATGTTGGACAATGTGGCACTGACCGTCGAAGGAGATATAGATTGATACTTGTTCATGTGGGCCCATATTTTTTTTACATTTGGTGTCGATAGAACACAAAAAATATACATGACCATATGCTTTTAGGTCTTCACCCTCCCCAATTTATTGGCCAACTCAGCAGGTTTTGCCTTAAGATGCCACCTCTTTCTGTAAGCTGCAATTGTTGTGGTTTTGGAATGCTGGTTCTCTTTCCTGCAGAACGGGCATTTATAGCGACCGTTATGCCAGTACACAATCTTTGCAGCCATGAGCCACTTGAAGATTTTATTTCTGAAAGCTTCCCTCAGCTGTAGGTAGTTCTCCCATTCTTGTAAATCTACAATCTGGTATTAGAAGAAAAAAATCTCATGCCAGGGAATTCTACATTATATCAAAGGCAGGCATAAATGGATTGTTTTTTCTTTGTATTGGTTTTCTAAAACTTTGGTTATATGAAAGACATGCATAAAATGGAATACAAATGATCGATTAATCTAAATTTGCAAACCCTGGGACTGATAAGCGTACGATTAATAAAAAAAGCGAACAGTATGATTGTCTGTACTAATAGCGAGGAATAACAAGAGAGCAATTTCTAGGGTTAAGTTAGAGAAGGCAAATTCTAGGGTTAATCTCTGCAGACACTAACCGATTCGTCGTCGTTGGTGCTGTGTTGGACCAGCTGCGACTGCGAATCTGTGGCGACGACGTCCTTGTCGACCAGTTCCTTCATGGGGTCCACATCCGCCACAAGGAGCGCACCAACCACGCCCCCTCCCCTGGCAGGTAGGATCATCCTCGCCGGCAAGAATGTGGGTTTTTTGGAGGCGGCGAGTAATGGGCAGCGACGAAGACATGGGTGGATAGGCAGAGGCGATCGAACGCTGGAGGCGGGAGCGAGATTTGGGGAGTGAAAATTCAATTTGTTTGGGAGAGAGAGGTCAAGGCCGTGCACAATTCGCCACTTTTGAAATTTAGGTAGAAACATGCACGTATACGGTATCGTGCACACCAAGAGATTTGCCCGAACCAACCAATCAACCAACTAAGCAAAAGAAAAAGTGCACAATGTCAGTGCACAAATGTGACAACATAAACTGAACACCAAAATAGGGTGTTCAAAAAAAGAACACCAAAATAGGAGGGACATTTTTTTGTTTTACGCAGTACTACTAAATACTACTCCCTTTGTCCCATAATGTAAGACGCTTTTTTACACTACGCTAGTGTAAAAAAGCATCTTACATTAGTGTAAAAAAGCGTCTTACCGATTAGGGAGTAGAAGGGAGAACTTCTGGAGGGAGTAGAAGGGAGAACTTCTGGAAAAAAAAATACTAGGCACATTTAATTTCACATGGCATCTAGCTTTTTTGTTCATCGCTAGCTATGTTGTACCGATTAGGTAAAGTGAATGGATAATTATTAAACCCTAACTATTGTCAAGGTTATCGGTGTGTGTCTACGTGGCCAAGTGTGCTTGCACGGTGTGGGTCTAGGTGAGTGTGATGCACCGGACGGGCCTTTGTGGTTAGGGCCCACATCAAGCGGCACCAAATTTTGAGGAAAGTGAAGGAACGAGCCCCGCACACTGTCCGCATGCCGGACTTGTTCCTTCCCATTGGCTAGATCCAACATGCGATATGGCCTCATTTACACTTAGCCCGCGTGAGGGTTTATGCATGCCCCTCTCGGTGTTTGACCATACCCTTCATGGCTCATATGATGAGACCATGCCAGGCCCCGTGATGCACAGCCTAGGCACAAACTGGACGCGTTACCTCTCGGTAGATAGATCCAAACCATGCACCCCCGCTGTTTAGACACAAGTGGAGTAGCACCTAGACACATGACCCGCGACACTTGTGCCAGCCCCCGAACCATGCATCCCCGCCGCGTAGACTCATACGTGGCCATGTGTGCATGCATGTTGTGGTTCCAGCTGAGCGCGGTGCACGGGACGGTCCTTGGTTACTAGGTCTAACATCACGCGGCAACAAGCTTTGAGGCAAATGAAGGAACGGGCCCCACACTCCCTTCACAGGACGGATGCATTCCCACTCCGTGGCTTGATCCAGCATGGGATATGGCGGTTGCCCACAGCCTATGTGAGGGCCTACGCATGCCGCTCTTGATGTTTTACCACACCCTCTAGGGGTTGTATGATTACACTTGCGCCAGGTCTCGTGAATTTTCAGCCCCTCGCAAATTTGCATGGATTATATTGGCAGCTGGCGAGCATTATAGCCTAGGGAACGGCGTCGAGGCCACCCCTCCCTTTGGTACTATATGGCGCATATATGGATCAAAGAGCTTAACATGGAGCTTTCATCCCAATCCTTGCTATGATTTCATGTGGCCGCCGTAGAAATTGAACTTTCGAGGTTACAACCCTAGAAATGCGGTAAATGTCCCGAATATGGGAGGGAGGGGGCGAGAAAGGCCACGCAATAAACTATCCCCATAATTTATGTTTGTTTTATCTGGAAAGACAAACAAGTTTTTTTAAATAAGGATTTTTAGCATGTTTTAATAAGGATTTTAAAATTCCACATTATAAGGTGCTTATTTTTTCCTAAAACAAAGGTGTTCTAAATGCACAAAGCTCCTCATTGAGCCTCTCACCATCACGTTCACGTTGAACTCACCCTAAAATCAAGGAGAGGTAGATCAAATCTCCCCACGGGGGGCAACCTCCACCTAGTAGCTAAATATGGTTAGTTAAGAAATTCTCCCCAAGTCATTTTTTCAGGCAAAATCACATTCTTCCTTTTTCCTCCAATATTGTGGCGAAATACATGGAAGAAAACTCGGGGGAGGCATGGTGGAACGAGTGCACCTGTTTTTCCCCTCCAAAAGTGCACTAGTTGCCATATTGCATGTGAACGTGTCACCTGTACAAACAATTGAAATGTTGCTTTTATTTGGTTAGCAATTCCTAAATATTGAATTTAAGCATGCACCTACCCCATGGCGGTTAGGTCAAATTTGCCTTATCCAAGCTCCGCCAGCGACCGTGCAGATTCTTGTACCATGCACGTGCTGCTACGGGCCTTCGGCATCCGGTACCGGACAGGGGAATCTGGATGTGATGCAATACAATTCAGGTTGACCCATATCATGCACGCTTAGCCAACTAGGCGGACAACAAGCACCGCTAGCCACCTCGATCTAGACCATGCAGTAGTGTCCACGATGGGCAAAGATGCTCAGCTGGACATGTTTGCTGGCACTAGTGCATGATGCCCAATCTCGGTGTGCAAGACAGGTTGCCGTGTGTCACTTTGACATGCTTCACATACGGAGGGAGGGACCTCTTGGATAACTAACGAACGGAGGTGGGGTCAAGGCTGGATGGATGGTGTGGGTCAACTTGGCTAAAGGGGAACTGTTTGAGGCCATTTGAACAATGTATGCCATGGCTATGGTCATGAGCTAGCTTAGTGTGACGCCCCCGATTTGACCGTACACTAGTCATTCATGCAAATGTGTACGATCAAGATCAGGGACTCACGAGAAGATATGACAACACAACTCTACAAATAAAATAAGTCATACAAGCATCATATTACAATCTAGGGGCCTCGAGGGCTCGAATACAAGAGCTCGATCATAGACGAGTCAGCGGTAGCAACAATATCTGAGTACAGACATAAGTTAAACAATTTTCCTTAAGAAGGCTAGCACAACCTGGGATACAGGTCGAAAGAGGCACATGCCTCCTGCCTGGGATCATCCTAGACTACTCCTGGTCGTCGTCAGCGGGCTGCACGTAGTAGTAGGCACCTCCAGTGTAGTAGTAGCCCTCGTCAACGGTGGCGTCTGGATCCTGGGCTCAAACATCTGGTTGCAACAACCAGGTAGAAAGGAAAGGGGGAAAAGAGGGAGAAAAGCAACCGTGAGTACTCATCCAAAGTACTCGCAAGCAAGGATCTATGCTACATATGCATGGATATATGTGTAAAGGGCCATATCAGTGGACTGAACTGCAGAATGCCAGAATAAGAGGGGGATAACTAATCCTGTCCAAGTCTACGCTTCTGGCAGCCTCCATCTTGCAGCATGTAGAAGAGGGTAGACTAAAGTCCTCCAAGTAGC